ATAGATAGATAGATAGATAGATAGATAGATAGATAGATAGATAGAGGTACTCTCATGTCCGCGTCAGCAAACTGGCGGACTCTCGGGATGTCTCCAGTCGAGAAGCCTCACCTTCAGCAGTCATGGGACCAGGCCAATTGCCAACAATTGATTGAGGAATTAAGACCGAATCTGAACCAGCACAGCCTGACTTGTCTTAACTCCTCCGGCCAACCATACAGCGGTGCCTGTCTTCACGCACTCCCTTCTTCTTCCGTAGGTTGTGTCCTCGACATCGATAGCCTCCGTATCGATGTGCCCACGAGACTTGGCCTCAAAGTGTGCGAGCCTCACACATGCCGTTGTGGATCATCAGTCGATAGCTTGGGCATACACCCACTGTCCTGTGGTCGGAGTGGTGGTCGTCTCCCACGTCACACCGACCTCAACGACATCGTGAAGCGTGCGCTCGATGCATCCGGCCTACATTGCATCCTTGAACCCTCCGGCCTGGACCGGGGCGATGGCAAAAGGCCGGATGGCATCACCATCTTTCTATTTGAGGGTGGCGAATGCCTCGTGTGGGAAGCCACATGCTCCGACTCGTTCTCACTGCTGTCCATCACCTTCTCTGCCTCTGCTCCTGGCAGTATCGCTAAGATACTAAGAAGGCACAAGAGTCCAAAATTATGAAATATGCAGGCCTCAGCGACCGCTACCACTTCGTACCAGTTGCCGTCGAAATGTCCGGCGCTCTCGGTCCCCTGACGACCCAGTTCTTCCAGAAAGTTGGTCGTCAGTTAACAAACGTCACAGGTGACCCACGGGAGACGAGGTGGTTGTTAGAGAGAATCTCTCTGGCGATTGTTAGAGGCAACGCCTTTTCAGTATTGGCAACCCCACGGGCGCTCGATAGACAGATAGATGGATAGATGGATGGACGGATGGATGGATAGACGTGATCTTAACGATGACGACAGACAGTAAGAGGGAGACTGAAAGAGAGATATTGTATAAGTATATGAAGAATATACTTTTGCAAGTGGTCCTTAACTTTTTGTGAAGACTGTATAATCTACTTTCATTCTAACAGCTCTACCTATGCAGCAAAGGGAGTATGGCAGGTTTCACAATTTTGTGTGCACTGAGGTAGTGAGATGTTTCAATGCCTCTATACGTTTATGTTTTGTTGAAATAAACAATTTTTCATTCCCAGGTTATTTGTTGAAAGTAGACATACAT